GATTTTTAAAAAAATATTTTCCTCAGTTTTTTAAAAGGAAACACTATCAGTATTCATAATTAATTTTTACAGTGGGTAGAAAAGAAAATTAACACACGTCACTAGGATGGTTGTGAAAAAGATAGACAGACGAAAAAATAAGTCGCCGGGTCCGATGAGGTTTTTTTCAAGGGTTCTTTGGAATGCAAAATGGAACTCTGGACCTTAACTAATATTTTTAATTTTTCTCTTCAAACGGGGTATGTCTGATATGTGGAAATGGGTAATGTAATGTATTTTTAAAACAGGGGAAAGTCGTTTACCGTCAAATTACCGCCCAATAAGCCGACCTAATTTTACAAAATTTTCGGTCAATTTTAGCTGAGATTTTTAAAAACCATCTCGATAAGTAGCTTATTAAAGAAATCAGCATGATTCACAAGAGGCCCGGGCTTTTCTAATAATTTACTGACTTTCTTTGTAAAACTTTTGAGGCTTTGACCCCGATAAAGAATTTTTATATTATTTTCTTAGATTTTATAAAGGCTTTTTATAGAGTTCCGCACATGACTGTTTTAAAGAAAGTGGCGCCATGGCATTGGGGGAAAAGTGCCTCGTGGATCGAGCATGGCTCACTGCAGGAAACAGAGAGTGTCCTAAATGGGTTAAATCCCAGTGGGGGTCTGTAACAAGGGCGTTCCACAGGGAAAGTCTTGGGCCGTTGTTGTTTATAATATATATCAATGATCTTGATGGGGAATTTTTTGTTTTATGAGCAAAAACGCCGATGACACAAGATAGGTGGGTAAATTTATTCAAAATGATGTTAGGAACTTTGGAGGGTTTAAACAAAAAATTTTTCTTGGTCAGAATGTGGCAATGCAGTAAAAGTAGAAATGCAAGGTTTGAACTTGGGAGTGCCCATAACCCCCGTACTTATAATTTTTTTTAAGGGTGTAGAACTTACCCAGATTTCGAAAAGGACTTGGGGGGGTTTTGGGGAACAGCAACCCTTTAAACCCGACAGCAATGCCAAAGGGCTAATAAGGCAAATGATTACTGGGATTTATACAAAATGAACAACAGAAACGAGGTCATACTGCGCTTTATACACATTGTAAAGCCTCACCCGGATTATCAGCTCGTTCTGGGCTCCTATTCAAAAATGGGAAAAAAATTTGTTAGAAAAAATTCACGTGGATGACTAAATTAATACATCATTTAAAATTTCCTTATGAAAAGTTTAAGATTTAAGTTACATTCACTTGTTAGACGAAGAATGAGGGGGGGACCTATCGAAGTGTATAATGGAAGAAAAAGGTATTAAAAAAGGGGATATAATAAGGTTTTGGGTGTCTCTCCAAGGGAAAAACCCCCAGTAATCATTTAATTAGATAAGTTTTTATTTAAAAGGGGAAAAGGAAAATATTTGGGTTTGGAAATAGGGTTTGAGAGTGGAACAGTCTACCTATTGGGTTTTTGAGGCTGGGGTTTGGTGTTTTAATTTTTGGTTGGATAAGTACATGAGGGGGAGGGGTTGATTTGAGTGGGACTTTCACATCAAGTTATTTCTTGGGGGGGGCATTGAAAATTGGGGGGGCAAATGTTTTGTTAGTGGGGGATGTAAAGGACCTGCCTAGATGGGGCCAAAAAGGCCTCGCATGTTCTCCTTTCTTTGTTTTATGTTAAAAATATAATTTTTTATATTTTATATAATAATATAATTTTTTTTTATATTTTATATTAAAATAAAAAAATTTTTTAAAATTTTTTATTTTATCAATGGCCGATTCCCCTCAAGGGATTGGCCCGAAAAAAAAAAACTTTCCCATCATTCCTCCATCCACTGTCTTGCCAGAAGGGTCTTACACTACGTTTTTTAAACGCAAAATTAACACCCCCCTTCAGAGTGCAGGCACTGACTTCCCTTCCAGGATCAAGTGGCCTGCCGGTTCCCTGAACCCCTTTATAAAAGTTCTTTTCTTACACTCCAACAGACGTCAAGTATTAAAAACCCTTCGTCTCCTTTAATCCTATCAAACACGCTCACGCACGCCTGCTGGAAGTCCAAGCCCCTCGCACACAGAACCTCCTTTACCCCCTCCCTCCAACCTTCCTAGGCCGACCCCTACCCCGCCTTCCTTCCACTACAGACTGATACACTCTTGAAGTCATTCTGTTAAGCTCCATTCTCTCTACATGTCCGAACCACCTCAACAACCCTTCCTCAGCCCTCTGGACAACAGTTTGGTAATCCCGCACCTCCTCCTAACTTCCAAACTACGAATTCTCTGCATTATATTCACACCACACATTGCCCTCAGACATGACATCTCCACTGCCTCCAGCCTTCTCCTCGCTGCAACATTCATCACCCATGCTTCACACCCACATAAGAGCGTTGGTAAAACTATACTCTCATACATTCCCCTCTTTGCCTCCAAGGACAAAGTTCTTTGTCTCCACAGACTCCTAAGTGCACCACTCACCCTTTTCCCTCATCAATTCTATGATTCACCTCATCCTTCATAGACCCATCCGCTGACACGTCCACTCCCAAATATCTGAATACATTCACCTCCTCCATACTCTCTCCCTCCAATCTAATATCCAATCTTTCATCATCTAATATTTTTGTTATCCTCATAACCTTACTCTTTCCTGTATTCACTTTTAATTTTCTTCTTTTGCACACCCTACCAAATTCATCCACCAATCTCTGCAACTTCTCTTCAGAATCTCCCAAGAGCACAGTGTCATCAGCAAAGAGCAACTGTGACAAACTCCCACTTTATGTGTGATTCTTTATCTTTTAACTCCACGCCTCTTGTCAAGACCCTCGCATTTACTTCTCTTACAACCCCATCTATAAATATATTAAACAACCACGGTGACATCACACATCCTTGTCTAAGCCTACTTTTACTGGGAAATAATTTCCCTCTTTCCTATGTACTCTAACTGAGCCTCACTATCCTCGTAAAAACTCTTCACTGCTTTCAGTAACCTACCTCCTACACCATACACCTGCAACATCTGCCACATTGCCCCCCTATCCACCCTGTCATACGCCTTTTCCAAATCCATAAATGCCACAAAGACCTCTTTAGCCTTATCTAAATACTGTTCACTTATATGTTTCACTGTAAACACCTGGTCCACACACCCCCTACCTTTCCTAAAGCCTCCTTGTTCATCTGCTATCCTATTCTCAGTCTTACTTTAATTCTTTCAATAATAACTCTACCATACACTTTACCAGGTATACTCAACAGACTTATCCCCCTATAATTTTTGCACTCTCTTTTGTCCCCTTTGCCTTTATACAAAGGAACTATGCATGCTCTCTGCCAATCCCTAGGTACCTTACCCACTTCCATACATTTATTAAATAATTGCACCAACCACTCCAAAACAATATCCCACCTGCTTTTAACATTTCTATCTTTATCCCATCAATCCCGGCTGCCTTACCCCCTTTCATTTTACCTACTGCCTCACGAACTTCCCCCACACTCACAACTGGCTCTTCCTCACTCCTACAAGATGTTATTCCTCCTTGCCCTATACACGAAATCACAGCTTCCCTATCTTCATCAACATTTAACAATTCCTCAAAATATTCCCTCCATCTTCCCAATACCTCTAACTCTCCATTTAATAACTCTCCTCTCCTATTTTTAACTGTCAAATCCATTTGTTCTATAGGCTTCCTTAACTTGTTAATCTCACTCCAAAACTTTTTCTTATTTTCAACAAAATTTGTTGATAACATCTCACCCACTCTCTCATTTGCTCTCTTTTTACATTGCTTCACCACTCTCTTAACCTCTCTCTTTTTCTCCATATACTCTTCCTCCTTGCATCACTTCTACTTTGTAAAAACTTCTCATATGCTAACTTTTTCTCCCTTACTACTCTCTTTACATCATCATTCCACCAATCGCTCCTCTTCCCTCCCGCACCCACTTTCCTGTAACCACCAACTTCTGCTGAACACTCTAACACTACATTTTTAAACCTACCCCATACCTCTTCGACCCCATTGCCTATGCTCTCATTAACCCATCTATCCTCCAATAGCTGTTTATATCTTTCCCTAACTGCCTCCTCTTTTAGTTTATAAACCTTCACCTCTCTCTTCCCTGATGCTTCTTTTCTCCTTGTATCCCATCTACCTTTTACTCTCAGTGTAGCTACAACTAGAAAGTGATCTGATATATCTGTGGCCCCTCTATAAACATGTACATCCTGAAGTCTACTCAACAGTCTTTTATCTACCAATACATAATCCAACAAACTACTGTCATTTCGCCCTACATCATATCTTGTATACTTATTTATCCTCTTTTCTTAAAATATGTATTACCTATAACTAAACCCCTTTCTATACAAAGTTCAATCAAAGGGCTCCCATTATCATTTACACCTGGCACCCCAAACTTACCTACCACACCCTCTCTAAAAGTTTCTCCTACTTTAGCATTCAGGTCCCCTACCACAATTACTCTCTCACTTGGTTCAAAGGCTCCTATACATTCACTTAACATCTCCCAAAATCTCTCTCTCTCCTCTGCATTCCTCTCTTCTCCAGGTGCATACACGCTTATTATGACCCACTTCCCGCATCCAACCTTTACTTTAATCCACATAATTCTTGCATCTACACATTCATATTCTCTTTTCTCCTTCCATAACTGATCATGATCATTCAACATTACTGCTACCCCTTCCTTTGCTCTAACTCTCTCAGATACTCCAGATTTAATCCATATATATAATATATATATATATATATATATATATATATATAATATATATATATATTATATATATATTATATATATATATATATATATATATATATATATATTTATATTTATATATATATTTAAATTTATTTGCCTTAGGCTTTATTTCAGATGTGTTCATTTCCTTATAAATATATCCAAAGTAAATGCCGCATGTAAACCAAAAGCAAGAAGAACATTATATAAAGTGATGTAATGTTTTGTCCTGACCCTGACAACATGAGTGCGTGGTCCCAGTGGTTTGGATCACTATCACTGGCAGGGTTTAGTGATTGCTGCCAGGAACAGAAGGACGTGAGATAGCCACCAATATCCCCTCCACTGGTGTTCGGACCATCATTTGTTGTTTGGATGTCCAGACGCACAATAACAATGTCAATAACATAGCCTTGCAGCTCTTCCTGATGGTAGATACCCTGAACCTGATGTGGATGAGGAAGGAATAATGATATTTACTAAACAAAGCAGACAGACACAGATACAAGACAAAATAGTTTGCTTGTGACATCATAACATAAGGGGTTATACAAATGTCTTGTACCGGGAATATTATTATTGTATTCATAAGGAACCTATTTAATCTGTGTAGGGGACACATAGCGCCTAAGATGGGTACCTGACAATGAAAGGTAATCAGATTTGAACCAAAGAAAGGGAGGGTAGCTCTAGTTTATTAATCAAATTCGGTCATAAGAATCAAGGCACCCTACTCTAAGGTTTTTCCTGGCAAAGAATAGGAGAAAACCCGAGTACCATGTATGTACTTGCCAGGGTATCTGGAGAGAGGAAGACTAGACATTATATGTCTTTAGCATGAAATAGGGTCTGCTATAATTTTTAGAGCGGTGAAAGCTTACATGTCGTATTTTAAGTGCATAACTTATACTAATATTTCATCTTGATAAATTATACTTACAGCATCGACGATTGTGAGAATGTAGTTTATCAGTGAAGATTTGTCAGAACTACCCACTCTCAGTGGGAAGCTTTGGTAGAGAGCTACATCTCCAAACACTGCCAGTTCCAAGGTCTTCCTAACCACCACTGTGACTGGAGAGGTCCCCACTTTGTGCTCTTGGATGTCACTGTGGATGACTGGTTTCTATACCAGGAAGGAATGTTACATCATCAGTTAATAATCGCCTAACAATTAATTATATAAAACACCGGCAATACTTTCCAACAAACAGTGAAGTACTTCCACTTTCATTCATTCTGTCTGGCTAGAAGAGTACCGATATCACAGTTCAAACGACCCTTCAAACCATAACATTCCACCCCATCTTCAACATGCAGTTACTGTACCGCACACCTCCAGGACTCAAGGCCGGCTAACCGGTTTCTATGAATCCCTTCATAAATGTTGCCCTGCTCACACTCCAACAGCACACCAAATTACAAAAACCAATTGTCTCTACTCATTTTGTCTAAAACGCTCGCAAAAACCTGTTGGATGTCCAGGTGGTTAGCACTCAAAACTTCTCTCCTACAACTACTGTTACTCCTCCTTCTCTCCGTCTCTGATTTATACCTCTTTCTAATCATTTTTTTTTCTCCACCCATTCTACTTCCCTCTTTTCTTTCCGTAATTGATCATTTAATTTTACCTTCACTTTCTTTCTTACCTCCGAATCTCTTAAATCAGCTGACGTGATCATATTTTACAATTCCCTCAAAAATTCGACTACCCTCATTTACCTTTGTTTTACATCCACTTCTGCTAACATTCAGCTTATTTTCATGCCTATTAATCGACATCTTTTTACATCACACCTGTACTTCACACAAGCACATTCAGACAATTAAAGTATAAAATTTCCTAGTTTGCCTTTTAAGTAATTTACTCAGAAGAAGGGGTTACTAGCCCCTTTGTTCCCGGCCGTTTAATCGCTTTTTATGACTTTCATTTGACGTAAGAATAATTTTCACCCACTTTCCATTGAAGATGAAACGAAACATTGTAAGAACAAGAACAATTAAGAGATTAGAAGAAAACTCAGATGAATGTTTACACACATGTATATGTACATGTGCTGCAGCAGATGTAGTATCAACTTAGTGTACATAAGTAGAGGCAGCAAGATGTACGTGTCATCTTACGTGTTTGTAAGACTGAGGAACACCAGCAGTGATCCGCCTCACCAACACCACTGAGAGAAACCTTGGAATGTCGATGCTGGGTGGATTTATTTTTCACAATGTCTGTTATTTATATAATAGAAACAATGAACTTTTTCTGTCCGTGATTTAAATAATAGATAGAATTAACTTCATCACTTTACCCTCACCTCAGCTTCCACTTATACTTGACCTCACCAGACTTGTTCTCGAAATGACTCTGTGACCTCATGGTGCTCCTTTGCCTGATAGGGTCGTGTATTTACCTGGGAGAAACGTGATATTAAAAGGATCCTCTGCTTCCAGTGTCTTTATTCCCAATTGTCGGTTTATGTCCCATTATTTACCTTTAGAATGGCACTCAGGTTCCTCAAAAAAAAGTAGCCTTCAGGACCTTATACACAAAGTTTTCCAGACCCATCACAGACTATTCATTACCAACGTGGTGCACCAGGAAGAAAACATCTCCAGAGAGTTGCTGCACTGTACTCCCGGAGCTGGTAGGAATGACCTATGAAGAATGAATAAAGTTACTAAACCGTAGCATAGGTCACCAACAGGAAGCAGTGATTGTGCAGAAATGGTCTGGAACGATATGAGGCACAAGTCTGAGCACGGAGTCATAATACTGTCGAAGGTGAGGTGGAAGATCTCGGAGACGTTATAGGGAACGGGATTCACTAGTGGAAATAAGAAGGAAGGTCCATCTGAAATCCAACCCTTCTCACTTATAGGCTTCTTCAGTCAAATACAGAGAGAATAATAGTAATAAATTAAAGATGATATAATCAGATTCCAGATGGACCTGCCTTCTTACTCCCACTAGAGGATCACGTCCCTTTCAACGTCTTCGAGATCTTCCACCTCACTTTCAACAGTATTTAAGACTCTGTTCTCATGCTTCAGCTTCATATCGTTCCAAGCTGAGAGGCTGATTGTATCATCTTTAATTCATTTATACTGCTCCCTATGTTTCTAACTGAGGAAGTCTACAGTGTAAGCGAAACGTTTTATCAATAAAGATACCCAACTGTTGCACATGTGTCTTAATCGCCAACTTGTCTGTATTTTATGCCATATTTCTATCTACGTGGAACAACTTAAAACCCTGAATGTGACTTCCAAAATGCGCGTCCCGGATTTTCATATTAAACCACGTCTAATGGATTCGGATTGAATGAGTTTAGATTTAGAAAGAAAGTATTTGTTTTGAAAGTGAGTAGACGATGAGTGGAACATTCTGCCTAGTAGGGTTATTGAAGCTAAAACTTTGTGTATCTTCAAATTTACGTTAGAGGGGATGGATTTAAATTGGACTTGCATGTGAGTAATAGGATTATGAAGGCTTATTGCTTAGGTAGCACTGAAAATTGGCTGGGCAAATATTTTTGCTTATGGGTTTGGGTTTGAGAAGGATTTGCCTAGTATGGGCCAGTAGACCTCCTGCAGTGTTCCTCCTCTCACATGGTCTTATGTTCTTATCACATTACTGGAAAAACTTTCAACAATTAAAATTTTCTTATTACAAAATTTTTGAAAAGTAAAATTTAATTTTCACTTGATGATCTCCTGCGCAGAAAAATTGACGATTCACTTGATCTTCCTATTCCAGCCAGCGATTTCATCGACCTCGTTGAACTATGTGTCGGCTTTACGTGTTTCTCTTTCGAAAATCACCTCTTTCAACAAACTTTTGGTCTATCCATAGGCTCGCCACTCAGTGCCGTCCTGGCGAACTTATATATGGAACATGGAAGCCGAGCGTTTCTCCACCGTTATTCCTTCGACTGTCACCTGGCTCCGTTATGTTGACGACATTCTCCTCATAACTCCCAGGCGCTTCAACGTTCAAGCCCTCCAAGACAAGCTCAACCAGGTCGAACCCTCAATCCAGTTCACACTTGAAGAAGAAGTCGACAACATTCTTCCTTTCCTTGATGTTCTTCTCTGCAAAACTGACCATGAACTTCGTTTTAAAGTCTATCGAAAACCAAACAACCAAAACGATCTTCTCCACTTCTACTCTCACCACGACACCAAAACTAAATGTGGTGTAATTATAGGCTTCTTCCTGCGTGCACTCAGAATCTGCAGCAATGAGTTCCTTGAGGAAGAATGCACTTTAATTGAGCAAGTATTTTCTAAACTCCACTATCCTCGTCACTTCATCAGAGACTGCAGACGACGAGCATTACACATCTTCAACACACCCAGAGAAGACACTGCCGAGAAGAGATACATAGTCCTCCTCACCAACTCCATTGCCAAACATGTTTCCAACATCTTTTCCAATACATCATTCCAAGTATCTACCTCCACAACCACGACCATCAAAGACATCACCAGTAGTAGACAGGACAAGCTTCCAACCTCTGCAGGGGTATACATAATCCCTTGTAATGACTGCAACAAATTATACGTGGGCGAAACATCAAGAGACCTTCAAACACGTATTTCAGAACACCAATACGCAAGCAGGACTGACAATACAAGGAATGTCTGTGTACAACATCGCAATTCACACAACCATTTAATTAACTACAGAAACTCAAGACTTATCGCCACAGAAGACAACACTCAATACCGAAGAATCCTGGAATAATCGCTTATCTCTATAACCAACAATTTCAACCAGAACAATGGCTTCTATAACATAGCTGAACCACTTGCCAAGAAACTTCTTCATCGCTATCCCGCATAAGAACATAGAACACTGCAGAAGAGCTGAACAGAATGAACTTGAGTTCTGTGATACATTATCGTGTCAGTTCTCACTCTACAGAGAAGACCATGGAGAAATTATCTAGTACACAAAACTGCAAAATGTACAAACCTGAAACTTATTTACATCGTCATCCAGATGCTGGTCAATGCTCGGCCTCAGCTCAGAAAGGTTGCGGATGCTCCCTCTCAAGTAGTGCTCAGCTGGTAGGAAAAAAATAGTATAAATAAATCAGTAATAATAGTGAAAAAGAATAAACAAAAACTGTAATAATTTCAACTATATATATATATATATATATATATATATATATATATATATATATATATATATATGGAGATGGGAAGTACAGTGCCTGCACTCTGAAGGAGGGGTGTTAATGTTGCAGTTTAAAAACTGTAGTGTAAAGCACCATTCTGGCAAGACAGTGATGGAGTGAATGATGGTGAAAGTTTTTCTTTTTCGGGCCACCCTGCCTTGGTGGGAATCGGCCAGTGTGATAATAATAAATAAATAAATAAATATATATATATATATATATATATATAATATATATATATATATATATATATATATATATATATATATATATAATGTCGTGCCGAATATGTAAAACTGGTCAATTAGCAAGAACTCATTTAAAATTAAATCCTTTCAAAAATTTTCTCTTATACGTTTGAAGATATATTTTTTTCATTAATGATAATGTAAAAAAAAATTATTTTGCACCAAAGGAATCTTAGAAAACTTACCTAACCTTATTATAACAAGAACAATTTATTTTAGCCTAATCCAACTAAATACATTTTAGATTTGTTTACAGTAATTTAATACTAAACAAACACAGTGAAATATATTTTTTTCGTTAGGTTCAGAATGATTTTGGCGAAATTATTGCATACACAAATTTTCACTTGTCCTATATGGCAAGATGAGAGTTGCTATTTAAGCCAAGATCGCAAGTTCTGCCTATTCGGCACGACATATATATGTGGAAAATAAATTCCCAAAATTATACTGTATATATTTTTCTAATGTAAATATACATGATTAATGCATTACTGTTGTTCTAAATTGTATTTTGAATAGAACCAACAGTGTTCCCCCTGCGCCTGCGCGGATGTGCGGGGGGGGGGGGTCAGAACCAACAGTGTTCCCCCTGCGCCTGCGCGGATGTGCGGGGGGGGGGGGTCAGAACCAACAGTGTTCCCCCTGCGCCTGCGCGGATGTGCGGGGGGGGGTCAGAACCAACAGTGTTCCCCCTGCGCCTGCGCGGATGTGCGGGGGGGGGGGGGTCAGAACCAACAGTGTTCCCCCTGCGCCTGCGCGGATGTGCGGGGGGGGGGGGAGGTCGAGTCAGGGCAGAGAGAGGCGGGAGTGTTTTGAATGTAGTGAGGAGGCTGTGAAAACATGGGACCAGCAAATTGGCGTTCACGGCGGCCTAAGGATTAATATAGGCCTCACTTCATAATAGGAAGTGTCGTAACTGTTCCTGGTGAAGAGTGAGGGAACGTGATTTACGGGACCACCGTAAAAGGGTGGTAAAATTAGTGAATAATGGTTCGACCGGGGGTGACTGGTGTGCGGCCATGGTGTGTGTCCAGGGGAAATACCCGTGAGTTAATCCTCACTCATCAGTCTCAGATCTTAATGGAGTGACCTCTAATGTGTATAATAATTATGAGACATTAAATCGTCTTGTGAATGGTAATGTAATCAGTGATAATAACATTAAGTTAAGGAATCGTTGAAGCGATATGAGCTGCCGTTCTCAGAGTGAGCATCTGTTTATCTCGTGTTCCTGTCTCGAGGATAGTGAAGGTCTTATGGAGTTACGACTTCTAAACCGGGATAAACCAACGAATACCTCGTCCTGTTGGAATAAGAACTGTGTCGGTGTAGCAGGACATCGAAATGAGATGGTGAATGTAGGAAATAGGAGTATCAATCGCCCACAGTTAAGTAACCCTTCTAGTTATAGCAGACTGATACTGGCCAGTTAGGTATGTTGTAATTGGATGGGTTATGGGTGATCCAGCTACATCAAGTGACCAGAGAATATCTGTTAAGTGGTGAGATTATGTACAAGTGTTTTTCCTTGATGTATATATCCAAGTGTAGCCTACCCCCTCCCCCTTCACTCAGTTAAACTAATGTAAGCTATACAGTCCACAATTAATTAGTAGCGCCGTACTTGTGGGTGCTATCCAATTTATACTGGTCCCGGATAGATATGGATAAGATTGTGAGGTCGAAGGAACCACCTGCCGTGACCAGGGGTGGTTAAGTTTTCTCACATGTCTACACGGGGTGACTACGGTAAACAATATGGTTGTCTCCCAATGAGATTACTTGTGTATGCATGTAATGTTGAGGTACATACAGGTAACACCCTACAAAAATTTTCCATAATATATATATATATATATATATATATATGCAAAACAACCACTCTGAAAGAATAGAGAAATTCCAAGCGCTTTCGTGACTACTCACATTATCAAGGAACTATGAAAGCGCTTGGAATTTCTCTATTCTTTCAGAGTGGTTGTTTTGCATATTCTCAAATCACCTGTTTACTGTGATCTTATTGCATATATATATATATATATATATATATATATATATATATATATATATATATTATATATATATATATATATATATATATATATATATATTATATATATATATATATCTGGCACCTCGCATCCTGCTCTGCGGTTTTGGCACAATATCGACTAATCAAGAACACCTACCATTATTATTATCAACAGGCTGGTGTGTCAATATCTGCTGCTCGTGTTGGAAAGGGCCAGAAGATTCTGCATTTCGTCTCTTCCTTCAGAATCAAGAAAAGTGTTGTGTATGTGAATTCAGTGAGGGAACATAACGGTCACCTATGGGTAGGTGAGGTCGGTGAGGGGAGGCCTCATGGAGGAGGAGGAGGCGGAGGTTGAGGGGTAAAACGGTCCCCCCTTCCCCAAATAGGCGCGTATACACCGTGTGCTCGTGTTACAACAATGGAATGTTTGTTCACCGTGTGTATAGTGTATATAGTGTGTAGTGCGTAGTATGAGCATGGTATGCGCATAGCATGTGTAGTGTATAGCGGCGTGTCGTTTATAGTGGAGGCTGTGCACAGAGCATAGTGGTGTATAGTAACAGGTGCTCAGAGCATTGTGGTGTATAGTGACTTGTCCTGGGAAGGAGTGAGTGCCCTACTCCGCCTCATCACACATCTTCCACTCCTCCCTTTCCTCCACCGCCCACCACAAGGACGGGAGACCCCTCTCCTCCCCCTACCACCACCATGAACTACATGCCGTATGTGCCATGCGCCATTTTCCCTTCAGCCTGGGCTTACCACACAGTTTGAGGTATGGCAGATGATGAAGCCAGCCAGCCACAAAGCCAGGGAAACAGTGCACCCAACAATGAAAGAAGAGGCACATGTCAGGTGTGCGGAGAGTTTCGAGCACGCAACAGGGATGGTCGCATTCGTGCACACAATGGGTGTGCGGGATCACATATGCCCCCAGCAGAGAGCAGCCCACAGCCTCCACAGGCAGATGACAATTCCAATGGCAACCTCCTCACTTGCGATAACCTTCTGTTGGCATTCAAATCCACTGCTAAGAGTACCCTATCCCACATCCCTAGAGCGGCTCGCCCATATGCAGCAGGGAAATTCACAGACCTTCTTAAGCAGGTGAATGGAGGTTCCACCAACTTAGAAGCCCGAGGCACCATCCAAGCATGGCGCAACCTGCTCCTGTTCGGCAATGTCTGTCTTGCAGTTCCTGAGAGATGAGGCAAACTGCTAACCACGTCAGTTATCAAGGCAGTGCGCAACTACCCAAGAACGGATAATTGTGTCCCTCTGCCCCATCATCGCAGGAATCACAAAGGTAGACCCAAGAAAAGTCCCACTGAAAAAGAGAAAATTTGCGCACAGGTTAGCAAAAAATTGAAGAAGGTAACGCAGTGGGAGCAATCCGAATAATTACAAGTGACGACACTGTAGCTCCCAAAGATGAGACCACAGCCCAAGCACTAAGAGACAAGCATCCAACCAGGGACACCATAGCCATCAACAACAACCCTGAGGAAGACCCCATCACTGAACAATTAATTTTGCCTGAATCGGAAGTCTATAAGGTGATTGTGTCATTTCCTGCAGGATCTGCAGGAGGTTACACTGGAATTCGACCTCAGCACCTCAAGGAGATGGTGAAACCAGTACTTGGTGCATCTGCATCACTTTTTCTCACCGAGTTAACAACTTTCGTCAACAACTGCCTGGCTGGGCGAATCCCAGAAGAAATTAAACCTTTTTCTTTTTTTGGAGCCTCACTGTGTGCATTGAAGAAGAAGGATGGGGGAATCAGACCCATTGCGGTTGGAAACACTCTACGCTGTCTCGTTGCCAAAGCAGCAGTAAGAAACATTCGCCTAGAAGCTGCCAGTTTACTCCAGCCACACCAACTGGGCTTTGGGGTCCCTCAAGGCAGTGAAGCTGCAGCTCATGCGGCAAGGGCCTACATCAGGGACCTACCAGAAGACAAGGCCGTAGTCAAACTTGATTTTAGAAATGCCTTTAATATGGTAAAGAGAGATGCTGTCTTGCCAGTTGTTCGGGATCGCTTCCCCAGTCTTTTTTCCTGCATTTCAGCCGGCTACAGCAAACCCTCAATTCTTTTGTTTGGAGAACATAAAATTCTCTCATCAGAAGGTGTTCAGCAGGGTGACCCACTAGCTCCACTTCTCTTCTGCTTGGCAGTAAGAGAACTAACTTACAGCCTACGCAGCAAGCTCAACATCTGGTACCTGGATGATGGCACTCTGGCAGGTACTGAAGAGTCCCTCGGAGGTGAAAACACAGGGAGAAGACTTGGGACTCATCCTCAATCCCTCCAAGCATGAAATCATCACAGAGAACCAGGAAATAATCAATGCTGTGCGAAGAATTCTCCCAGAAGTCTCTACTACCACTCCGTCCAACAGTACCCTCTTGGGAGCACCGCTGGGTCACCAGGCCATCGACACAGTCCTCAAGGACAAATTGAATGACCTGATGAGAATGGAGGAGAGAATAAGCAATCTTGATGTCCATGATGCTCTGTATCGCCTCACAAGGTGCCTTACTATTCCAAGACTCACTTACTTCCTGAGATGTGCACCCTATTTTGACAACCCAACACTCGACGTATGACGCACACCTGAGGTCAACCCTTAAGAAGGCACTGAACCTGTCACTAGAGGATCAGCAATGGGATCAGGCAACCCTCCCAGTGTGACCGGGAGGTATAGGGGTGCGCAAAGCAACGCATGTTGCTTTACCTGCTTTTCTGTCTTCTTGTTTGGCTTCCAGTGCATTAGTCAAGAAGATTGTTCCCGAATGCTTGAGAGACGTGGTAGGAGCTCAAGACCCCAGGTTTACTGAAGCAGCGATTCGGTGGGACACCCTTACAGATTCCTCCAGTAGACCAGCTCCTCCCACAGAACACAAACAGTCCCACTGGGACAAACCGATCATGGAAAAAGTCGCCAACACAATGCTCTCCAACGCCTCAGGAAAGGACAAAGCTCGTCTCCTGGCAGTGAAGGCACCACACTCAGGAGATTTCCTGTTAGCTGTTCCCAATTCCTCCCTGGGCACCCGTCTCGACCCACAGGCCATTCGGATTGGTGTTACTCTTCGCCTAGCCACCCCCATTCTCACCGAACATAGGTGTATTTACAGCAGAGCGACAGCTGATCAATTCGGACTTCATGGTCTCGTGTGTCACACAGCAGAAGGTAAGTATGCCAGGCATAAGGAGGTCAATGACATCATAAAAAGAAGCCTCGCCACAGCCCGTTGCCCAGCTCAACTGGAATCCCAAGTGCAGAGGTCTGACGGAAGTTAAAAGCGTCCTGATGGAGCCACTATGCTACCTTGGAAGGATGGAAAGCAGATTGGCTGGGGCTACACATGTGCTGCCACACTGGCAGACACCTACTTGCCATACTCCATAGTGGAAGGGGGTGGAGCTGCCAGCCACAGGGAGACTCAGAAGATCCGCAAATATGAAGACCTTCCCCCTTGCTATAACTTCATCCCAATAGGGCCAGACACCCTTGGAGCATGGGGCAAGTGTTCACTAAAGTTCCTAATAGAGCTGGGTGAAAAGCTAATCATAGAAACCAAGGACCACAGGGCGACCAGCTTCCTCTTTCAGAGACTCAGTGTTGCGATCCAGAGAGGAAATGCCTGCAGCATTCTGGGCACGCGGCCCACCGCCGGGGAGCTGGACGAAGTATTCGAGATGTAGCTCTGATTTACCTATGTTGTTTTACTTTCTATCGTATTTTTGTGAATGTTTTGTCAATGTATTTTGTCTTTAAATAAAATATATATAAAATATAGGGGGGTGGTAGGAGAAAATTCTCAAACAGCTTCAGGGAGAACCTTGAGTTTTCCCTGAAGCAAGTTTATTCTTTTCTCTGAGGATGAGGGTCCCTATAACAGTTCTAGAGGTGGTACCTCCCTATATATAATATAATAATATATATATATATATATATATATATATATAATATAAATAATATATATATATATATATATATAATATATATATATATATATATATATATGTATATAATATATATATATATGATATTATATATATATAATATATATATATATATATATATATTATATATATATATATATATATATATATATAAATATATATATATATATATATTTTCTTTCTTTTTCTTTCAACACACCGGCCGTATCCCACCGAGGCAGGGTGGCCCAAAAGGAAAAACGAATGTTTCTCCTTTTACATTTAGTAATATATACAGCAGAAGAGGTTACCAGCCCCTTGCTTCCGGCATTTTAGTCGCCTCTTACAACACGCATGGCTTACGGAGGAAGAATTCTGTTCCACTTTCCCATGGAGATAAGAAGAAATAAACAAGAATAAGAACTAGAAAGAAAATAGAAAACCCAGAGGGGTGTGTATATATATGCTTGGTTGATGTATCTTATATGAATGATACATTAATAGCTTAATCTGTGTTGACGCGAGTGTGATAATATCCATACATAGTGAAACAACTTAAAATCGTTGGATTCCGAGTGATAACTGGAAGATTCTTGTTCTGTCTTGCTTCACACTTTCAAGGTCAGTATACTGTGATTAAAATGGTATAAAATACCGACAGGTTGGTATGATACATGTGCAACGCTTTGGTATCTTTATTCGGAATAAAGATACATAACTGTTACGATAGGGATGCCCGGGTGTTGCGCATGTGTCTTAATTTCATCTTGTCGGTATTATATACCATTCTTGTACTACTACTACTACTACTACTACTACTACTACTACTACTACTACTACCACCACCTCTTCCTGCCTATATATAGCCGTCCTGCTCCACTTCTAGTTAGTGTGACTTTGTCAATGGTCCAAGTCGGACCGAAACGTCGTCGTAAGCTTCTCTCTTTTATGTGCGGGTTATTTGTGTATCGTTCCAGTCACGGTATTGTGCCTTTTTTGTTATTTATACATAACTGTTGCACATTTGTATTACTTTCCATTAATATACTTTCCTGAACTCAAGGTTATTATTGTTATTGGGTTATATATGTACCAGCTTGCCAATTTTAGTTAATAAATTGTGATATTGATTTTTATTCAATTTGTATAGAATACTTGTTTACGTTGGCTTCAAACCTTCAGTGTTGATGGATATAATTCCACTGCAAAATCTCTGGCCCACCTTCTGGACATGACCAACATCCACTAGCTGGACACACCCACATGTAACCACGGAATGAACTACTGAATCTAACTACCTTTTGCTGTCTCTAAAAGTCTTCAGTCACATTCTACTGTAACAGACTGATAATGGCTGCTCTGCTGGCGAAACAATTCTCAATATATATACTCAGCTCTTGAACATGTGTCGTATTTGCCAGTTTATGTAGATATTCAATGCAGAATGTTTTTCTTTTTTTTTCAGTCCCGAGCGCATATGTTGGATGGAGCAACATCCAACATCTCGTTGATTTTTTTTGGTCTTTTCTTTTATAGATTGGTGTAACTTTGGCTAAATAAGTTTATTGGGAAAATTCGGTTTCAAAAATTTCTTTGATAAGTGTTACTGTGTGTTTTTCTTATAAGTGAAAGATGGAATAGTGATTTATTCTTCTTTGTTTTGTAGCTAATTCATTACTAAATTTGCCTTCGTAATATTAACTAGAGATGGAGATAGAGGGTTTGTTTAGTTATATCTGAGGAGGGTTTGTTTAGTTATATCTGAGGAGGGTTTGTTTAGTTATATCTGAGGTAATCTGTATCTTACATTTGAAATTTTTTTTAACTATGTTTGAACTTACAATTGAGAAGACTTTAACAAATTTATTTGCAATTTTAGTGTTTAAAATTGGAGGTTCGTTAGGTATAAAATTGGGAAAAGGGTTTTCAACTCAACATTTCTTTCCCACAAAAGTAGATTGCCCCATAGAAAGAAAACATATTCATCATCACTCCCACAATAGCTGTCTTCACTAAGTAAATGGCCATCATTACTCTTGTGAAACCTCTATTAAGCAAAATGTGATCTACAGTACTTTAAAGTGAAGTGTACTTACGTCCTGTGGCACACACAGAAGGCTCCTCGTTACCCTCTTCAGCCTCCCGTCTCCTTCTACCGTGGACAGGTATTTCATCCCGTTTCAAAATGTGGAAGATGTGTAGACCAAACACTCCTTCCTAGAGTCAATAAGAAAAACATGGAAGATGTGTAGATCAAACACTCCCTCCTAGAGTCAGTAAGAAAAACGTGGAAGAAGCGTAGACCAAACACTCCCTCCTAGAGTCAGCAAGAAAAATGATCAAGTGTATAGAATGAAATTCGCAATATCGTGACTGAAACAATACACAAATATCCCGCATATAGTAGACAGAAAGTTATGAAAACATCTCAGTCCGAGTTGCAGCAATAACTAGCCCTGTGGCTAGTTAATGGTACAAATAAATAGTTAATGGTGCATGTAACTAGTTAATAATGCATGTAACTAGTTAATAATGCATGTAACTAGTTGTTGGTGCATATAACTAGTTAATGGTGCATGTAACTAGTTAATGGTGCATGTAATTAGTTAATGTTGCATATAACTAGTTAATAGTCGGAGAGAAACGTCGTCATACATTTCTTTCTGGTATGTGCGAGTTATTTATGTACAAGTGTCATTGTACTGCCAGACGTTTTTGCTGATGAAAACAAAACTGATACTTGTATACCGGCCAGAATGGTCGGTATACAAGTATCATGAGCTCCTATACCGACCAGAGTGGACACTAACGCAGAACTGATACTTGTATACCGGCCAGAATGGTCGGTATACAAGTATCACGAGTTCCTATACCGACCAGAGTGGACACTAACGCAGAACTGATACTTGTATACCGGCCAGAATGGTCGGTTATACAAGTATCACGAGTTCCTATACCGACCAGAGTGGACACTAACGCAGAACTGATACTTGTATACCGGCCAGAATGGTCGGTATACAAGTATCACGAGTTCCTATACCGACCAGAGTGGACACTAACGCAGAACTGATACTTGTATACCGGCCAGAATGGTCGGTATACAAGTATCACGAGTTCCTATACCGACCAGAGTGGACACTAACGCAGAACTGATACTTGTATACCGGCCAGAATGGTCGGTATACAAGTATCACGAGTTCCTATACCGACCAGAGTGGACACTAACGCAGAACTGATACTTGTATACCGGCCAGAATGGTCGGTATACAAGTATCACGAGTTCCTATACCGACCAGAGTGGACACTAACGCAGAACTGATACTTGTATACCGGCCAGAGAAGACACAAATGCATCGCTTGTGAGTTCCTGTACCAAAAATTCCCCGAAAGGAGATAAAAGTGAGCAAATCGAATTTGTTTTGCTCTTTTCTTCCACATTTCTTTGATAGCTTCATAATTTGAGAACGTCTCTCAGATAGACTTGAAATTTTCAAAGCTTGTGCACCATATTTAGAGGAAGATTTTGATTGTTTCTGGACGATGTAGTTATCACATTGTCAAATTCATTGTTCAGAATGTGAGTTTAGTGAATGTGTGATAACTTGAGAAAGTGTATTTTGTTCAACTTCTAATTTTCTAAGCTGCTGTTTCTTAGAACAAGTTTAGAATTCTCATTTGACTGAGAATGTGTTAATTTGCTAAATATATTATTATGGTTATTTAGCACAGTTTTTCTACGCCATAACTGGAGAAAGTCTCTTGTGAATGGCTTCAAATTTTAACTACTGATACAATATGTCGAAAGGAAAAGAAAGTTTACTAAAATTTAAGACAGTGTAGCAGGAAATTTACCAAATTATAATTATTATTAAAAAAGAGAAAGTTATTGTTTTTCTTGCACTAACTGAGGAATAACTTCATTGATTAGCCTTAAATTTTGTCCCGATTTATCGATTGTATTTAACAAATTGGATTTGGGTTTCCATATGATAATTAAGAGATGTTTCTTTTGATTAGTTTCATACTCTTAACATTTCTAAATCATACTTATAAACAAGTTTGGGTGTTCTTGGATTGGGGAGGGTTAAATTAGTAATTTTATCAAACATATTAGGATGTTTCCATCGATTACATGAGAATATCTCTTGTATGAGCTTCACTTTTCATGTGGTGGGATGTCCAGCCATCATCTGGCACAACAGACTAACTGGTGTCTGGTTACTGTGACATAAGAAGGAGCTCTCAGACATTAGGTGCTCAACTCACCCCCAGAGAATCTCCTAAGATGCTCTGGTCTCTGTGCGGGCTGAATACCAAGAATGGCTCAAATGGAGCAGAGGTTTCGAGAGTTGAAAGCCCCATAGCAGCGAGAACACCGGCCTCTACACCATTTGAACCCAAGACGTGCTGTACCCCCAACTACAGGGCGTCGACGACTGTAGCTAACTGCTACACCACTCATGCTGAAGAAGACTCACCGTGCCCTTGTCACAGGGCTGCTCCCCCCCCCCCCGCAGGGCTGTAAATGGTACTGAGTGCTAGTGCACTCAACTCACACACTGAGGACAGGAGTTCAAATCCCTAGTACGGCTGGATAACATTAGGGACGTGTTTCCATAAGACACCTGCTGTCCATGTTCACCCATCAGTATAAAATGGGTACCTGGGTGTTAATCGACTGGTGTGGGTCGCATCCTGGGTCCAAATTGACTTAATTTACCTTAAATGTTTTGCATAAAAAGCGGCTTTCTATATAGTAGTATGTTATTGATGTCAGCTACGGTCTGTATACCTCGTACATGTAGAAATAAAAATATTATTATTAAGACGGCTCACCGCGCCCCTGACACAGCGCTATAACCGGGACATTACTTGAACGAACTCCGACACTGCCGGGTCACCACATGAAGAAGACCCGGGTCACCACATGAAGAAGACCCGGGTCACCACATGGAGAAGACCCGGGTCAACACATGAAGAAGACCCGGGTCACCACATGGAGAAGACCCGGGTCAACACATGAAGAAGACCCGGGTCACCACATGGAGAAGACCCGGGTCAACACATGAAGAAGACCCGGGTCACCACATGGAGAAGACCCGGGTCACCACATGAAGAAGACCCGGGTCACCACATGGAGAAGACCCGGGTCACCACATGAAGAAGACCCGGGTCAACACATGGAGAAGACCCGGGTCACCACATGAAGAATACCCGGGTCACCACATGAAGAAGACCCGGGTCACCACATGGAGAAGACCGGGTCAACACATGAAGAAGACCCGGGTCACCACATGGAGAAGACCCGGGTCACCACATGAAGAAGACCCGGGTCACCACATGGAGAAGACCCGGGTCACCACATGAAGAAGACCCGGGTCAACACATGGAGAAGACCCGGGTCACCACATGAAGAAGACCCGGGTCACCACATGGAGAAGACCCGGGTCACCACATGAAGACCCGGGTCACCACATGAAGAAGACCCGGGTCACCACATGGAGAAGACCCGGGTCACCACATGAAGAAGACCCGGGTCAACACATGGAGAAGACCCGGGTCAACACATGGAGAAGACCCGGGTCACCACATGAAGAATACCCGGGTCACCACATGAAGAAGACCCGGGTCACCACATGGAGAAGACCGGGTAAACCACATGAAGAAGACCGGGTCACCACATGAAGAAGACCCGGGTCACCACATGGAGAAGACCCGGGTCACCACATAAGAAGACCCGGGTCACCACATGAAGAAGACCGGGTCAACCACATGAAGAAAAACCCGGGTCACCACATGGAGAAGACCCGGTCACCACATGAAGAAGACCCGGGTCACCACATGGAGAAGACCCCGGTCACCAGATGAAGAAGACCCGGGTCACCACATGAAGAAGACCCGGGTCACCACATGGAGAAGGCTGGGGTCACCACATAAGAAGACCCGGTCACCACATGAAGAAGACCCGGTCACCACATGAGAAGACCCGGGTCACCACATGAAGAAGACCCGGGTCAACACATGAGAAGACCCGGGTCACCACATAGAAGAAGACCCGGGTCACCACATGAAGAAGACCCGGGTCACCACATGAAGAATACCCGGGTCACCACATGGAGAAGACCCGGGTCACCACATGAAGAAGACCCGGGTCACCACATGGAGAAGACCCCGGTCACCAGATGAAGAAAACCCGGGTCACCAGATGAAGAAGACCCGGTCACCACATGGAAAGGCTCGGTCACCACATGAAGAAGACCCGGTCACCACATGGAGAAGACCCGGTCACCACATGGAGAAGACCCAGGCACACATGAAGAAGACCCGGGTCACCACATGGAGAAGACCCGGGTCACCACATGGAGAAGACCCGGGTCACCACATGGAGAAGACCCGGGTCACCACATGGAGAAGACCCGGGTCACCACATGGAGAAGACCCGGGTCACCACATGGAGAAGACCCGGGTCACCACATGAAGAAGACCCGGGTCACCACATGGAGAAGACCCGGGTCACCACATGGAGAAGACCCGGGTCACCACATGAAGAAGACCCGGGTCACCACATGGAGAAGACCCGGGTCACCACATGGAGAAGACCCGGACCAAGACCCGTCCTGGCAAACTTACATGAACAAGAATAAGAGTGAGACCAGTACCAGTTAATATCCAGTATTTATGGCTAGTTGCTATGGAAAACCAAACTGGCTTGCCGCTAGTATTTTAATATACTGTATAATATTAATTATAAGAAAATCGCTCGAAAAATTTTGAGGGGCGGTTCGTCTTATGTTTTTATAGTTTGGAGAAAATGAGTTCTTGCTTTGAGTTTTATAAAGATGTTGTTAAATTAGACACATGTGCAACTCTTGGGTATCTTTATTGAGGGACTGATTACCTCATTCTCCTCCTGTTCTTCAAGTTTCTCCTTTGTATGGACTGATGAAGTCACCGTTTGGCGAAACGTTTCCTCAATAAAGATACCCAAGAGTTGCACATGTGTCTAATTTAACAACGTGTCGGTTCCCTGAACCATTCATCTACATAAAGATATTAAGACACAGACACAAGGCAACATGTGCGCATTCATCTAAAATTCCAAGACTTGAATTTCCTGATCTGCTGATCCTCGATCTCTTGGGAAAACTTAATTATATCTTCTAGGGAAATATAATTCAACCCAGAAGCTACAGTAACTTTACCTATTTAAAAGGTAACAAACTGCTGTTAGGACTCGTACATTAAGGTACCAAAGAACTCGGGTTAAGTGATAAAACAATACTATAATTTTTCTTTTTCGTACGACGACCGAAACATGAATAATTCAATTTTAGATAATACTGATATGCAGAGATAATTGATGGAGCTTTCTAAGGCGTAAACTTAATGAGTTACCACAACATTCTATAATACGGAGTCCTTAAATGAGGCTGACACTGTACTATATAAGCGAGGCCTAGTATGGCAAATGCTAGAAATATTTCTTTCATATTAACAAAATATTAATTTAGCATTAATTGTTAACTTTATTACTAAAATTCTTCTTGGATTAGAAACTTAATTATTGAAAACGTTCTTATGTATTAAATGTTCGTTATTACGTTCAAACATGCACTTAACACATAATCCAGACATATTTGTAAAAAAATGATAAAATTGCCATAAACAATGTCTAAAATAATACCATATTTTACGAGTTAAAACTATTTTAATGCAAAGTGATATTTATTAAACAAACTAATTTGTGATTTGAATAATTATGTTGTTTTAAAACTGTCGCTGTTATTTTAAAAAAAGCACTCTTATACCAGTGTAAATACTTACAGTAGATGTATTATTATTTGTTGTATCATTGTAGCGCATAATGAGGCCGTCACAAGGTAGATGCTCCTCTACCAGTGACTGGAAACGTTGAAGGAGAGGATGAAGTGTGGCCAACTGGTCTGCTGTAATAATGATACCATCCTGAAAGACCGAAGATAAATTATTCATTCTTGCACTTATTGTCCTTATCATAACATAAAATATTAATAGGACAAACTAAATGTAAAATAAAATAAAAATAATATTATATAATTCATATGAGTGAGGTCCAATAAAAGAATAACAGAAGGACATATAAACCACTTGCCCATTTAGAATATTTTACTGAAGGAGACAACTCACCACTAGTTATTTTCTCAGCCCAATACAGAGAGAATTAGGAACACAACTTTACAGTTGAGAGAGTGTTTCAAGTTCTTGTAGCACAGTGGTTCCCAAACTTTTTCAGCTTGTTACCCAATTTAACATGCCACATAAAGCATGTTACCCCTTTCACAAAATGTTGTTATTATTGATATATATGGCTAAATTAAAACACTTGAGATATTTTCTTTTATTTATTGTATTTGAACATTGTGCATCTCTAATGACTATTACCAAAGATGTCAAGAACATCAGTGGGATGGATGGAGTTGCATACTTGAAGCTAGTTTAGGAATTCTTGGCTTCATACCAGCTTATGTCTACCTCGGCTGATGCTCACAGATAAACTGACAGTGTGAAATAGAGGCAGCCTCAGGAAGTGAGTGACGCGTACTGGACAGGTCGATCTGGGCTACTGAGTGACTTTTGTCCTGAAGCATACTTGTCAAAATATTTTGGGTTTCCACACACTTAGCTATATATTTCTTCTTTCTAATACTGTATATTAGTTTTTGATGTTATTGTTATTTGGTTTAACTTTATTACTTACTTATAATAGGTTTACTTTACAACTTTATATACTAAGACAAAGTTAACAATAATCCTCATACCGGGTACCGCATTGTTTTCTGGATTTTCAGAATTCATAACTTTTTTTCTGTCACCCCTCCATTACCCCCCAAAAATGGTTAAATTACCCCCAGGGGGTAATTTACCCCCAGTTTGGGAACCACTGTTGTAGCAGAACGTTCGAAAAAGGCAGTAGTTGCGAAGTGTCTCGTTCACTGAAATGTCTTATGTGAATAATTATCTTTCTGTGTTTTCTTTACTAATTCTTGCATAGGCCTACGAATGTTAAGGTAAATACTGAAACCAAACACTGAATTTTTTTTTTCAGACACTTTCTTTTATTATAAGTAAACCCAGTTCCTCTTCACTTCCTATTATTATTTATCTTAATCATTCCTACACATCTTCACTTTAAAAAATCATTCATCATTACTTTTCAACTAAAAGTAACAAAAATTGTTATGATTTGTCACTTACCAGGACGTGGTTGTCACAGTTGTTGACAGTGACCACGTGGGTGGCATTAGTGGAGCGGTAATGACAGGTGAATGGCATGAATGGCACCAGCACGCCATCAATATACACTCCAGCACTCACATGGGGCGCCACTAAGCCTTCTGAAGGTGCCAACACAGAGTCTACGCTCAGGTCTGGGGACCTAGGACACGTGTAGATAAGTTTGCTGCTCTAATATACATAGCAGCAATATTTTATTATTTTATATATATATTACTTATACCGTGCAATGTGTTGTGAAAGCTCGATCCTCCGTCTTCTAATCACGGGCATAGTAATAGGGGAATCATATGAATATTATTAAAATTTAATGCATATTAAAAAACTTTTAAATTACAAAGAATGTGCGTATGTGAGACAGTAAGAATGTGCGTGTGTGAGACAGCAATAATGTGCGTGTGTGAGACAGCAATACTGTGAGTGTGTGAGACAGCAATAATGTGCGTGTGTGAGACAACAATAATGTGCGTGTGTGAGACAGCAATAATGTGTGTGAGACAACAATAATGTGCGTGTGTGAGACAACAATAATGTGCGTGTGTGAGACAGCAATAATGTGTGTGAGACAATAATGTGCGTGTGTGAGACAGCAATAATGTGCGTGTGTGAGACAGCAATAATGTGCGTGTGTGAGACAACAATAATGTGCGTGTGTGAGACAGCAATAATGTGTGTGAGACAACAATAATGTGCGTGTGTGAGACAACAATAATGTGCGTGTGTGAGACAGCAATAATGTGTGTGAGACAACAATAATGTGCGTGTGTGAGACAGCAATAATGTGCGTGTGTGAGACAGCAATAATGTGCGTGTGTGAGACAGCAATAATGTGAGTGTGTGAGAGAGCAATAATGTGCGTGTGTGAGAGAGCAATAATGTGCGTGTGAGACAACAATAATGTGCGTGTGTGAGACAACAATAATGTGAGTGTGTGAGAGAGCAATAATGTGCGTGTGTGAGAGAGCAATAATGTGCGTGTGTGAGAGAGCAATAATGTGCGTGTGTGAGACAAGAATGAAGTGCGTGTGTGAGACAGCAATAATGTGCGTGTGTGAGACAACAATAATGTGCGTGTGTGAGACAGCAATAATGTGCGTGTGTGAGAGAGCAATAATGTGCGTGTGTGAGAGAGCAATAATGTGCGTGTGTGAGAGAGCAATAATGTGCGTGTGTGAGACAAGAATGAAGTGCGTGTGTGAGACAGCAATAATGTGCGTGCGTGAGAGAGCAATAATGTACGTGTGTGAGAGAGCAATAATGTGCGTGTGTGAGACACAATAATGTGCGTTGTGAGACAACAATAATGTGCGTGTGGGGAGACAACAATAATGTGCGTGTGTGAGAGAGCAATAATGTACGTGTGTGAGACAGCAATAATGTGCGTGTGTGAGACACCAATAATGTGCGTGTGTGAGACAGCAATAATGTGCGTGTGTGAGAGAGCAATAATGTACGTGTGTGAGACAACAATAATGTGCGTGTGTGAGACAACAATAATGTGCGTGTGTGAGACAACAATAATGTGCGTGTGTGAGAGAGCAATAATGTACGTGTGTGAGACAGCAATAATGTGCGTGTGTGAGACACCAATAATGTGCGTGTGTGAGACAGCAATAATGTGCGTGGTGGAGAGAGCAATAATGTACGTGTGTGAGACAACAATAATGTGCGTGTGTGAGAGAGCAATAATGTACGTGTGTGAGACAGCAATAATGTGCGTGTGTGAGACACCAATAATGTGCGTGTGTGAGACAGCAATAATGTGCGTGTGTGAGACAACAATAATGTGCGTGTGTGAGAGAGCAATAATGTACGTGTGTGAGACAGCAATAATGTGCGTGTGTGAGACAGCAATAATGTACGTGTGTGAGAGAGCAATAATGTACGTGTGTGAGAGAGCAATAATGTACGTGTGTGAGAGAGCAATAATGAAACGTGTGTGAGACAGCAATAATGTACGTGTGTGAGACAGCAATAATGTGCGTGTGTGAGACAGCAATAATGTGCGTGTGTGAGACAACAATAATGTGCGTGTGTGAGACAGCAATAATGTGCGTGTGTGAGACAACAATAATGTACGTGTGTGAGACAACAATAATGTGCGTGTGTGAGACAACAATAATGTGCGTGTGTGAGACAACAATAATGTGCGTGTGTGAGACAACAATAATGTGCTTTGTGAGACAGCAATAATGTACGTGTGTGAGAGAGCAATAATGTGTGTGTGTGAGACAGCAATAATGTGTGTGTGTGAGACAGCAATAATGTACGTGTGTGAGACAGCAATAATGTGCTTTGTGTGAGACAGCAATAATGTGCATGTGTGAGACAACAAAAATTTGTTGTGTGTGTGAGACAGCAATAATGTGTGTGTGTGAGACAGCAATAATGTTGTGTGGTGAGACAGCAATAATGTGTGTGTGTGAGACAGCAATAATGTGTGTGTGTGAGACAGCAATAATGTGTGTGTGTGAGACAGCAATAATGTGTGTGTGTGAGACAGCAATAATGTGTGTGTGTGAGACAGCAATAAGGTGTGTGTGTGAGACAGCAATAATGTGCGTGTGTGAGACAACAATAATGTGCGTGTGTGGGGACAACAATAATGTGCGTGTGGGGAGAGAGCAATAATGTGCGTGTGTGAGACAGCAATAATGTGCGTGTGTGAGACAACAATAATGTGCGTGTGTGAGAGAGCAATAATGTGCGTGTGTAGAGAGCAAAATGTGCGTGGTGTGAGACAACAATAATGTGCGTGTGTGAGACAACAATAATGTGCGTGTGTGAGAGAGCAATAATGTGCGTGTGTGAGACAACAATAATGTGCGTGTGTGAGACAACAATAATGTGCGTGTGTGAGACAACAATAATGTGCGTGTGTGAGACAACAATAATGTGCGTGTGTGAGACAACAATAATGTGCGTGTGTGAGACAACAATAATGTGCGTGTGTGAGACAACAATAATGTGCGTGTGTGAGACAACAATAATGTGAGTGTGTGAGAGAGCAATAATGTGCGTGTGTGAGAGAGCAATAATGTGCGTGTGTGAGACAACAATAATGTGCGTGTGTGAGACAACAATAATGTGCGTGTGTGAGAGAGCAATAATGTGCGTGTGTGAGAGAGCAATAATGTGCGTGTGTGAGACAACAATAATGTGCGTGTGTGAGACAACAATAATGTGCGTGTGTGAGACAATAATGTGCGTGTGTGAGAGAGCAATAATGTGCGTGTGTGAGAGAGCAATAATGTGCGTGTGTGAGACAACAATAATGTGAGTGTGTGAGACAGCAATAATGTGAGTGTGTGAGAGAGCAATAATGTGCGTGTGTGAGAGAGCAATAATGTGCGTGTGTGAGACAACAATAATGTGAGTGTGTGAGAGAGCAATAATGTGCGTGTGTGAGACAACAATAATGTGCGTGTGTGAGAGCAATAATGTGCGTTTTGTGAGAGGCAATAATGTGCGTGTGTGAGACAACAATAATGTGCTTTGTGTGTGAGAGAGCAATAACGTGCGTGTGTGAAACAACAATAATGTGCGTGTGTGAGAGAGCAATAATGTGCGTGTGTGAGAGAGCAATAATGTGCGTGTGTGAGACAACAATAATGTGCGTGTGTGAGAGAGCAATAATGTGCGTGTGTGAGACAACAATAATGTGCGTGTGTGAAACAACAATAATGTGCGTGTGTGAGACAACAATAATGTGCGTGTGTGAGACAACAATAATGTGCGTGTGTGAGACAACAATAATGTGCGTGTGTGAGACAACAATAATGTGCGTGTGTGAGACAGCAATAATGTGCGTGTGTGAGACAGCAATAATGTGCGTGTGTGAGACAGCAATAATGTGCGTGTGTGAGACAACAATAATGTGCGTGTGTGAGACAGCAATAATGTGCGTGTGTGAGACAGCAATAATGTGCGTGTGTGAGACAACAATAATGTGCGTGTGTGAGAGAGCAATAATGTGCGTGTGTGAGACAACAATAATGTGGGTGTGTGAGAGAGCAATAATGTGCGTGTGTGAGAGAGCAATAATGATATATAAATATTTCCTTCAGGTTTCTGTTTGGAAAAAAAAGACTGGCGACAAAAGCAGCAAGAAGACACAATATCAGAAAGTTGTTATTCTATTTTTTTTTCGCTCGGTGACCAGCTTTTTGAGTCGCTTAAAAAACTGGTCTCTGACCGACACAGTATTGTTATATTAAGGTTTGTTCGGCAGAGTCTTCTTCTTATTTTCCAGACGCTGTTGATACCGACGACCAGCTGAGTGATACCGACGACCAGCTGAGTGATACCGACGACCAGCTGAGTGATACCGACGACCAGCTGAGTGATACCGACGACCAGCTGAGTGATACCGACGACCAGCTGAGTGATACCGACGACCAGCTGAGTGATAACCGACGACCAGCTGAGTGATACCGACGACCAGCTGAGTGATACCGACGACCAGCTGAGTGATACCGACGACCAGCTGAGTGAGAAACATCAATGTGTCCTCTGGGAAGACTTAAGTCGTTCTTAATACTTTAGTATTAGTTACCTCTTTAATATTCAATATATTAACTTAAACAATTTATGAGGAAAATACTACCACTGGAGGAAAGCAATCTAAGAAAAATTATTTAATAATAACATACTAAATTAACCAAAAATAAAGTTTTTCGTACAATAATCTACATAATGTTACTAAAGGAATTATGGGTACCTCTTTGAGGAAACATAAAATGTTATAGAGAAGTATTACCTTTTTTGTGGTACACTGACCTGATGATGAGCCTCACGTGACCAGGCTGACCAGAGTCCACATTTGGATACAGTCTTGGTTTAACTAGGTGGAAGATTGGGTCAGAAATGTTACCAAAGAAATGGTGCATTTCTATTGCAGACATCTCAGTCAGAAGAGCCTGTATTAATGTATCAATAATTACAAAGAAAGTAAATAGTGCCAATAACAATTAATTACAAAATATTTAGTTACAATATTTATTACCTTCGACTTCTACTTTCTATCCCTCAGGCACCGTACCAACCGTACGGGATTAGTGCTTCCTTATGCATATACAACAATAACAAGAAGATTAATAATAATAATAATAATAATAATAATATAATGATTATGATTATGATTATTATTATTATTATTATTATTAACTAGCTGCATTTCGGTTTCAGCTTAATCCAGGAAATTCGTATTCCATAAAACCATCAGCCTGTACCTCAAAGACGCAAAAGGTATAATGTATTAACGTTGGTAGAATTACCCACAATATGTTAAGTGAAGGGAAACAAGTGAAACAAATGTCACATTTAATGTGGCAACGTTTCGCTCTCCAGGAGCTTTGTCAAGCTGTTAAAAACAGTGCATGGACAGAGGGTATATATAGGCTTAAAGTGAGGTGTAGTAGTTGTAATACTAGTGGTGGTAGTAGTCGTGATACATGTGGTGGTAGTAGTAGTAGTCGTGATACATGTGGTAGTAGTAGTAGTCGTGATACATGTGGTGGTAGTAGTAGTAGTCGTGATACATGTGGTGGTAGTAGTAGTAGTCGTGATACATGTGGTGGTAGTAGTAGTAGTCGTGATACATGTGGTGGTAGTAGTAGTAGTCGTGATACATGTGGTGGTAGTAGTAGTAGTCGTGATACATGTGGTGGTGGTAGTAGTAGTCGTGATACATGTGGTGGTGGTAGTAGTCGTGATACATGTGGTGGTGGTAGTAGTAGTCGTGATACATGTGGTGGTAGTAGTAGTCGTGATACATGTGGTGGTAGTAGTAGTCGTGATACATGTGGTGGTAGTAGTAGTCGTGATACATGTGGTGGTAGTAGTAGTAGTCGTGATACATGTGGTGGTAGTAGTAGTAGTCGTGATACATGTGGTGTAGTAGTAGTAGTAGTGATACATGTGGTGGTAGTAGTAGTAGTAGTGAGATACATGTGGTGGTAGTAGTAGTAGTAGTGATACATGTGGTGGTAGTAGTAGTAGTAGTGATACATGTGGTGGTAGTAGTAGTAGTAGTGATACATGTGGTGGTAGTAGTAGTAATACATGTGGTGGTAGTAGTAGTAATACATGTGGTGGTAGTAGTAGTAATACATGTGGTGGTAGTAGTAGTAGTAATACATGTGGTGGTAGTAGTAGTAGTAATACATGTGGTGGTAGTAGTAGTAGTAATACATGTGGTGGTAGTAGTAGTAGTAATACATGTGGTGGTAGTAGTAGTAGTAGTAATACATGTGGTGGTAGTAGTAGTAGTAGTAAATACATGTGGTGGTAGTAGTAGTAGTAGTAATACATGTGGTGGTAGTAGTAGTAGTAGTAATACATGTGGTGGTAGTAGTAGTAGTAGTAGTAATACATGTGGTGGTAGTAGTAGTAGTAGTAATACATGTGGTGGTAGTAGTAGTAGTAGTAATACATGTGGTGGTAGTAGTAGTAGTAGTAATACATGTGGTGGTAGTAGTAGTAGTAGTAATACATGTGGTGTAGTAGTAGTAGTAGTAATACATGTGGTGGTAGTAGTAGTAGTAGTAATACATGTGGTGGGTAGTAGTAGTAGTAGTAATACATGTGGTGGTAGTAGTAGTAGTAGTAGTAATACATGTGGTGGTAGTAGTAGTAATACATGTGGTGGTAGTAGTAGTAATACATGTGGTGGTAGTAGTAGTAGTAATACATGTGGTGGTAGTAGTAGTAGTAATACATGTGGTGGTAGTAGTAGTAGTAATACATGTGGTGGTAGTAGTAGTAGTAATACATGTGGTGGTAGAAGTAGTAGTGATACATGTGGTGGTAGAAGTAGTAGTGATACATGTGGTGGTAGAAGTAGTAGTGATACATGTGGTGGTAGTAGTAGTAGTGATACATGTGACGGTAGTAGTAGTGATACATGTGACGGTAGTAGTAGTGATACATGTGACGGTAGTAGTAGTGATACATGTGACGGTAGTAGTAGTGATACATGTGACGGTAGTAGTAGTGATACATGTGGTGGTAGTAGTAGTAGTAATACATGTGGTGGTAGTAGTAGTAGTAATACATGTGGTGGTAGTAGTAGTAGTAATACATGTGGTGGTAGTAGTAGTAGTAATACATGTGGTGGTAGTAGTAGTAGTAATACATGTGGTGGTAGAAGTAGTAGTGATACATGTGGTGGTAGAAGTAGTAGTGATACATGTGGTGGTAGAAGTAGTAGTGATACATGTGGTGGTAGAAGTAGTAGTGATACATGTGGTGGTAGAAGTAGTAGTGATACATGTGGTGGTAGAAGTAGTAGTGATACATGTGGTGGTAGTAGTAGTGATACATGTGACGGTAGTAGTAGTGATACATGTGACGGTAGTAGTAGTGATACATGTGACGGTAGTAGTAGTGATACATGTGACGGTAGTAGTAGTAATACATGTGGTGGTAGTAGCAGTAGTAATACATGTGGTGGTAGTAGAAGTAGTAATACATGTGGTAGTAGTAGCAGTAGTAATACATGTGGTGGTGGTAGTAGTAGTAATACATGTGGTGGTAGTAGTAGTAATACATGTGGTCAAACCATACCCCGGCCGGGATTGAACCCGCGGTCATAGAGTCTCAAAACTCCAGCCCGTCGCGTTAGCCACTAGACCAGCTAGCCACAATAAGATTCATCCAACTAGGTATATTTCTACACCATAGGAGATTCGTCTGTAAAAACTTGCATTTGTGGTCACAGAGGTGCCTGTGCTAACTTTCCTATGGTGTAGAAATATACCTAGTTGGATGAATCTTATTGTGGCTAGCTGGTCTAGTGGCTAACGCGACGGGCTGGAGTTTTGAGACTATGACCGCGGGTTCAATCCCAGCCGGGGGTATGGTTTATTTGCAATCGTGTCATTACGATTTCTTGAGTCAATACATGTGGTGGTAGTAGTAGTAGTAATACATGTGGTGGTGGTAGTAGTAGTGATACATGTGGTGGTGGTAGTAGTGATACATGTGGTGGTGGTAGTAGTAGTAGTGATACATGTGGTAGTAGTAGTTGTAGTAGTGATACATGTAGTAGTAGTAGTTGTAGTAGTGATACATGTAGTAGTAGTAGTTGTAGTAGTGATACATGTAGTAGTAGTAGTTGTAGTAGTGATACATGTAGTAGTAGTAGTTGTAGTAGTGATACATGTAGTAGTAGTAGTTGTAGTAGTGATACATGTAGTAGTAGTAGTGATACATGTGGTAGTAGTAGTTGTAAGTAGTGATACATGTGGTAGTAGTAGTAGTAGTAGTGATACATGTGGTGGTAGTAGTAGTAGTAGTAGTGATACATGTGGTAGTAGTAGTAGTAGTGATACATGTGGTAGTAGTAGTAGTAGTAGTGATACATGTGGTAGTAGTAGTTGTAGTGATACATGTGGTAGTAGTAGTAGTAGTAGTGATACATGTGGTGGTAGTAGTAGTGATACATGTGGTGGTGGTAGTAGTGATACATGTGGTGGTGGTAGTAGTGGTAGTGTTACGGTTCAAATCTTAATCTTTAGCCAGGTTAGTTCATTCCGTAACAACACACTTCATAGAATGAAAGGATATGTTTCCAAACTTAGAAATGTAAGGCACAAATAATAGTTACTCAGTCTTTTCAAGTTTCTTTTTATTTAAAAGCTTAAATACTTTAGATATTCATAAATATCTATTAAACATCACTGTCAGAAACTTTCCTTCACACAAGAAAACTCTTAAATAGAATGTACATGTCAATATGGTCACTACACTTGACAATGATCAGAGGAATATTACCGCTTCCTCAATAGTAACATTACTTGTGTGCAAGTACATATATTGAGAATTAACACTTTTTCTGAGTAACTCCCTGGCATAAGGAATATATCACAAAGTTCTAAGTTTGACACTGTCGTCACATCGTAACCTGAAGATAACAGTATATGATTGTCAGCAGACTTCACAATAAACCACAAGCTGGATCAGGAGTTTCTATAACCCAATTCTCTATCCAAGTGAGAATAAGGCGGTGAGTACTAGGAGGGTAGCTCAGTCAATGTACACTGAGTCAGCAGAGAGAGTGAACTGCCATATACAGTAAATTCCTTCATGACATCAACTCGTCAAAAGGGGGAGAGCGGTGCAAACTACCCACCAATGGAGATACCTTGTTATAAACCTTAGCCAGGTTGTACACTACCTAACACATTACTCAAGATATATATATATACATCATACCCGGGTATATTCCTAAATCAGATAATATTATAAACTAGTGGAATCTTTAATTTAGCTAATATTAAAGAAACCCAGAGTATAATATTAAGTGGATAATACATATAAATAATCCCCATTATGACCTTGGTCATAACAGTAGTGATACATGGGTGTAGTAGTGTAGTGATACATGTGGTGGTAGTAGTGGTAGTGATACATGTGGTGGTATAGTAGTAGATGATGCATGTGGTGTAGTAGTAGTATGATACATGTGGTGGTAGTAGTAGTAGTGATACATGGTGGTAGTAGTGGTAGTGATACATGTGTGGAAAGTATAGTAGTGATACATGTGGTGGTAGTATAGAGTAGTCGTGATACATGTGGTGGTAGTAGTGTAGTGATACATTTTGGTGGTAGTAGTGGTAGTGATACTTGGTGGTAGTAGTAGTAGTGATACATGTGGTGGTAGTAGTAGTAGTGATACATGTGGTGGTAGTAGTAGTAGTGATACATGTGGTGGTAGTAGTGGTAGTGATACATGTGGTGGTAGTAGTAGTAGTGATACATGTGGTGGTAGTAGTAGTAGTGATACATGTGGTGGTAGTAGTGGTAGTGATACATGTGGTGGTAGTAGTGGTAGTGATACATGTGGTGAGTAGTAGTAAGTGATACATGTGGTGGTAGTAGTAGTAGTGATACATGTGGTAGTAGTGGTAGTGATACATGTGGTGGTAGTAGTGGTAGTGATACATGTGGTGGTAGTAGTAGTAGTGATACATGTGGGAGAAAAAGTCAGCTTGTACATGAGTAAAAATAGCTTTAATATCCTTTTTACTCATGTACAAGCTGACTTTCTCTAGCACATGTATCACTACCACTACTACTACCACATGTATCACTACCACTACTACCACCACATGTATCACTACCACTACTACTACTGCTACCACATATACCACTACCACTACTACTACCACCACCACATATACCACTACCACTACTACTACCACATGTATCACTACCACTACTACCACCATATGTATCACTACCACTACTACCACCACATGTATCACTACCACTACTACTACCACATGTATCACTACCACTACTACCACCACATGTATCACTACCACTACTACTACTGCTACCACATATACCACTACCACTACTACTACCACCACCACATATACCACTACCACTATTTAACTAACCACATGTATCACTACCACTACTACCACCATATGTATCACTACCACTACTACCACCACATGTATCACTACCACTACTACCACCACATGTATCACTACCACTACTACTACTGCTACCACATATACCACTACCACTGCTACTACCACCACTACCACATATACCACTACCACTACTACTACCACCACCAGCACATATACCACTACCACTACTACTACCACATATACCACTACCACTACTACTACCACCACCAGCACATATACCACTACCACTACTACTACCAACACCACATATCCCACTAACACTACTACTACCACCACCATCACATATACCACTACCACTACTACCACCACATATACCACTACCACTACTACTACCACCATCACATATACCACTACCACTACTACTACCAACACCACTACTACACCTCACTTTGAGCCTATATATACCCTCTGTGTCCATGTACTGTTTGTAACGTCTTGACAAAGCTCCTGGAGAGCGAAACGTTGCCACAATAAAATGTCACATTAGTTACACTTGTGTCCTTTTACATAAAAAGTCATAACGGAGAGCGGATGTGAAGGTTTGGTTCCCTGGCGTGACAAGTGACGTTCCTGGCAAGTCTGGTTCAGAAAATAATTAGTCATACACCATTCTTCCTAAATTATTACCCTTGAATTTCCCTTAGTTAACGTAGTTAAGATGTAAATCAGCATCATTCAGGCAGTAACTGAAACTTTACATAAAATAATTTTCTTCTAATGTATTAGGCAAGATATGTAAAATATTAGTGAATATTCTAAGTATCTAAGTATCTAAAGAATAAAGTAATGCACATATAAAATAGTTAAAATAAAGTACTTCTAAAAATTTTCTATATGTGATAAAATCTTAAAGTAGACATGCAGTCTACTGCTTCCGAAAATGCATGACACGTCTAAATATAAGTAATATAGCAGGAGAACATAGTCACCCCAAAAAGTAGGAGCAGTTGCTGAGACCAGTGCAGAAATATTTAGCAAGATGTTGAGTAGGAACCAAGTTGCTGCTCCTGCAGTGATCCTGAATGTTGGTAAATGCTACCTATTATTAATTAACACTTTTAACATTCTGCTCTAAACATTCGGGACTACAGAAATTCACTGACCATAAAACGAATTCAATTTCAACCTGCTTCATTAACAAACCGAAGTCTGGTATAAGAGTAATTAACATAGGCAGGCCAGAGGTGAACAAAACAAAGGTAGTGTTACAAGCTTCGCCTTTCACTAGGCAACGTCTGAGTTGCTGTGTGCAACCTACCTGTTGCACAATGTCAGCTAGCATGAGGCTGGTCTCAAGTGGTCCTCCAGACTAGCGAGTCTTGGGCAGTTTCCTTTAACCAAGGTATATCTTTACACAAAGAGTAATAATCAACATGCAAGCAGATCCTCAGAAGATTAATTGGCCTGTCATTTCGACCCCCTGCTGGGGTCCTCTTCATTTGATGTAGTTGACCCCATCGAAGGGTTATTAGCGAACAATGACAAGTGATCATTAGACTTTAGCTAATGACAGTAGTAATAAACCTACCTAATAAAATAACTACTGCAAATAAATAAATAAATACAAGCTTTCATTTCCTCTTATATAGAACCGAATATTACCGAATTATCTGTGAATAATAATGAACAAGCGTATACATTAATTCTAAACCAGTAAGTAACTGTGTTATGCTAGAACATTCACAAGACGTTACTCTCTCAAGCTACCAACAATATTCATAAAATATGAACAGTAAAATAAATATCTGTATACTGTGTGTATATCTTACGTATGAATTTCCGCACGCATATTCATTTTCAAATGTATACAAGTATGCATTTGCGTGCGTACATATTCATATGTGAATTTGTATATTTGTATATGTATTTTTGTGCATATATGCGTATGCAGATGTATAAATTTGCATTAGTATATGTTTGTGCATTAATACGTCTGCATATGTATATATGTGAGTATGTGCATATATATACACTTGTGCATATCAATGTGTGCATGAATGATTGGGCAAATTTTATGAAAGTTCACAGAAATGTATGCATACGTTCTCACATATATCCATATGTACACATAGAAATACGCATATGCAGGTATAGAAATAGAAGATCCGCAAATATGAAGACCTTCCCCCTTGCTATAACTTCATCCCAATAGGGTCGGAGACCCTTGGAGCATGGGGCAAGTGTGCTCTAAAGTTCCTAATAGAGCTGGGTGAAAAGCTCATCATAGAAACCAAGGACCACAGGGCGACCAGCTTCCTCTTTCAGAGACTCAGTGTTGCAATCCAGAGAGGAAATGCCTGCAGCATTCTGGGCACGCGGCCCACCGCCAGGGAGCTGGACGAAGTATTCGAGATGTAGCTCTGAGTCACCTATGTTGTTTTACTTTCTATCGTACTTTTGTGAATGTTTTGTCAATGAATTTTGTCCTTATATTTTATATATTATTACATATATATAATATATATATATATATATATATATATATATATATATATATATATATATATATATATATATATATATAAAATATATATAGTTATTTTTTATACCTGCATATACATATTTCTGTATGGACATGTGTGAGAACGTATGCATATATTTGTGTGTATGTACATATGTATGAATGAATACATGTGTGTTTAATACCTGGAGTCTACCTGGAGGGAATTCCGGGGATCAACGTCCCAGTGGCCCGGTCCACGACCAGGCCTCCCGGTGGATCAGGGCCTGATCAACGAGGCTGTTACTGATGGCCGCACGTAATCCAACGTACGAACCACAGCCCGGCTGAACCGGCACCGTCTTTAGGTATCTGTCCAGCTCCCTCTTGAAGACAACCAGGGGTCTTCTCGTTATGCCCCTTATTGCTGGTGGTAGGCTGTTGAACAGTCTTGGGCCCTGGACACTTATTGTGTTTTCTCTTTGTGTACCAGTGAAGCCCCTACTTTTCACTGGGGGTATGTTACATCACCTGCCAAGTCTTTTGCTTTCGTATAAAGTGATTGCTGTGTGCATATTAGGGACCAGTCCCTCCAGAATCTTCCAGGTGTAGATTTTGATATCTCTCTCTCGCCTGCGCTCTAGTGAGTGTTTCCAAGCGCTCCCAGTAGTTAAGGTGTTTGATGGAACTTGTACGTGCAGTAAAGGTTCTCTGTACATTCTCTAGCTCTGCAATTTCACCTGCCTTGAATGGGGATGTTAATGTACAGCATTATTCCAGCCTAGAAAGAATAAGTGATTTAAAAAGGATCATCATTGGCTTAGCATCTCTTGTTTTGAATGTTCTCATTATCCATCCTATCAGTTTCCTAGCAGATGTGATAGTGGCATTGTTGTGGTCCTTGAAGGTGAGATCCTCTGACATTACCACTCCCATGTCTCTCACATTACTTTTCCTCTCTATTGTGTGATTGGAGTTTGTAGTATACTCAGTTCTAGTTATTATCTCCTCCAGTTTTCCATAACGGAGTAGTTGGAATTTGTCTTCATTGAACATCATATTGTTCTCTGTTGCCCACTGGAAAACTTGGTTTATATCTTCTTGGAGGTTGTGTCCTCAATGGACGACACTCTCATGCAGATCCTAGTAACGTCTGCAAAAGATGATACAGTGCTATGGTTTACATCTCTGTCTATGTCTGATATGAGAATAAGGAACAGGATAGGTGCGAGTACTGTACCTTGAGGGACAGAGCTCTTCACTATGGCACCATCTGATTTAACTCTGTTTACCCCTACTCTTTGTGTGAGATTGGTTAGAAAGTTGAAGATCCATCTGCCTACTTTGCCGGTTATCCCTTTAGCACGCAGTTTGTGTGCTATTACACCATGGTCGCACTTGTCAAAGGCTTTTGCAAAGTCTGTGTATACTACATCCGCATTTTGTTTGTTTTCCAGTGCATCTAGGACCATATCATAGCGGTCTAGCAGTTGCGAGAGGCAGGAGCGACCTGCTCTGAAACCATGTTGCCCTGGGTTGTGCAATTTTTGGAGTCCAGGTGGTTTGCTATCCTGCTTCTTAGAACTCTTTCAAAGATTTTTATGATGTGGGACGTTAAAGCTATTGGTCTATAGTTCTTAGCTACTGCTTTGCTGCCACCTTTATGGAGTGGGGCTATATCTGTTGTTTTTTAGTGACTGTGAATCTCGCCTGTGTCTAAGACTCCTTCTCCATAGCATACTTAGGGCCCATGAGAGGGGTTTCTTGCAGTTTTTAATGAACACCGAGTTTCACGAGTCTGGGCCTGGGGCTGAGTGCATGGGCATGTCGTCGATGGCTTTCTCAAAGTCTAGTGGAGTTAGAGTTGTCATAAATCTGGCCTACATTGGCAGGGTTTTGAGGCTCATTCATGAAAAAATTGTTTGGATCATCTATCTTTAAACTGGTTAGTGGCTCACTGAACACTGAGTCATACTGCAATTTCAGTATCTCACTCATTTCTTTGTTGTCGTCAGTGTAGGATCCATCTTGTCTGAGCAGGGGCCCTATACTAGAAGTGGTTTTTGACTTATTACTGGCGTATGAAAAAAATATTTCGAATTTCTTTCAATTTCATTTATCGCTTTTAGCTCCTCTTGTCTCTCCTGGATCCTGTATGAGTCCTTAAACTTCAGCTCAATATTTTCCACTTCCCTGGTTAGCACTACCTTCCGTGTATCAGATAATCTGGCATTCTTGAGGAGCTCAATGATTCATCGTCTTCTCCTGTAGAGGGAGCGTCTCTCTCTCTCCAGTTTACTTCTTCTTTTCTTTTGTCTTATAGGAATATACCTTGAACATACTTCAGCTACCAGGAGGATGATCTTTTCGAGGCATTGGTTCGGGTCCATGTAATTTAAGATATCCTCCCAGCATGTTTCATTTAGGGCATAGTTTACCTGATCCCAGATGATGTTCTTGTTGTTGAATTTGATGTGTATATGATTAGCATATGTAAGTATTTTTACGTGAGTATGTTAATGTATGTACGAAAACATCATTATTAGAGTTATTAGTTGTCAAAGCACTTGTCGACAGTGTGTGCTAACCTATATGTACTCACCTATATGTGGTTGTAGGGGTTGATTCACAGCTCCTGGCTCCACCTCTTCGCTGGTCCCTACCAGGTCAGCTCTGAGACTGAACAAATACGTCTTAACATCCCAGTGAATCATGTGAGTTTTCAACTTCTAGCTGTGCCCTCGTGTTCTGTGCCCTCTTGTTCTGTCCCCTCGTGTTCTGTGTCCTCGTTTTCTGTGCCCGCGTGTTCAGTGTCCTCGTGTTCTGTGTCCTCGTGTTCTGTGCCCTCGTGTTCTGTGCCCTCGTGTTCTGTGCTCTCGTGTTCTGTGCACTCGTGTTCTGTGCACTCGTGTTCTGTGTCCTCGTGTTCTGTGCCCCGTGTTCTGTGTCCTCGGTTTTGTGTCCTCGTTTCTGTGTCCCTCGTGTTCGTGTCCTCGTGTTCTGTGCCCTCGTATTCTGTGTCCTCGTGTTCTGTGTCCTCGTATTTTGTGTCCTCGTGTTGTGTCCTCATGTTCTGTGTCCTCGTGTTCTGTGTCCTCGTGTTCTGTGTCCTCGTGTTCTGTGTCCTCGTGTTCTGTGTCCTCGTGTTCGTGTCCCTGTGTTCTGTGTCCTCGTGTTCTGTGCCCTCGTGTTCTGTGTCCTCGTGTTCTGTGTCCTCGTGTTCTGTGTCCTCGTGTTCTGTGTCCTCGTGTTCTGTGTCCTCGTGTTCTGTGTCCTCGTGTTCTGTGTCCTCGTATTCTGTGTCCTCGTGTTGTGTCCTCATGTTTCTGTTTTCCTCGTGTTCTGTGCCTCGTGTTCTGGTCCCGTGTTCTGTGTCCTCGTGTTCTGTGTCCTCGTGTTGTGTCCCCCATGTTCTGTGCCTCGTGTTCTGTGCCTCGTGTTCTGTGTCCTCGTTTTCCCTGTGTCCTCTGTTGTGTCCTCATGTTTCTGTGTCCTCGTTTCGGTCCTCGGTTCTGGTCCTCGTTTCTTGTCCTCGTGTTCGGCCTGAGTTTACCTGGAGTTTACCTGGAGAGAGTTTCGGGGCAACGCCCCCGCGCCCGGGTCTGTGACCAGGCCTGCTGGTGGATCAGCCCCTGATCAACCAGGCTGTTGCTGCTGGCTGCACGCAAACCAACGTACGAGCCACAGCCCGGCTGATCAGGAACCGACTTTGGGTTTGCTTGTCCAGTGCCAGCTTGAAGACTGCCAGGGGTCTGTTGGTAATCCCCTTATGTGTGCTGGGAGGCAGTTGAACAGTCTCGGCCCCTGACACTTATTGTATGGTCTCTTAACGTGCTAGTGAC